AGTGCAGCGAGGTCCGTACAAAAAAGACCGAGGGCCGATATTCTTCCAGTACGGTCCCGAGCAAGCTTGGTTAATAAGAGATTTATTATATGACTGAAGTTCAAAGGGACACAAGTGCGGTATCATTCAGGACCATTTGGGACAGTGCCCGGTCCAATACTGAGAGAATATTGACCGGCAATAGAGCATTTTGATTGGTTGATTTTAGTTATTGGCCCTCTGAGTCGCCCAAGTCGTGTAATAATGAGGGTTATTTACCCTTGGTTGTGGCAGGGCAGGATAAATCTCTATCCAGTGGATAGGCTAGCACATTTAGTTGACACTTGTCCACTGCATGGTGATTTCTCCTTTGGATAGCATTACCAACCCTTTGACCAGCTGAGCCCTAGATTCTATTGTGTTACATGTTACAGCAAAAAAGTGACAGTACATTTGCCAAGTTGCAGTTTGTAGATTGGACTGAGAGAGAAGGAACAAAAGCCTTAGCTTTAACCTTCAAAACCAGGGGACTTTCTGGGGCGCTGCATGCCAATTTATATTATTTTGTGAAAGTTTAGACAAGCCTAAAGAATTTTCTTTTATTTTGTTAGGGTGGAGGTATTTATGTCTATGCCAATATGCGAGGCTGTGATGGAGAAAGAGTCTACTATGACGGTTGCTCCATGATTGCAGTTAATGGCAAAATAGTTGCACAAGGTTCACAATTTTCCATGCAAGAAGTTGAAGTTGTAACCTCCACTGTTGATCTGGAAGAAGTGCGTTCCCATCGTGGTGCAAAGCCAACATTTGGTTCAAATGCGATGGCTCTCACGGAGAGCTATCCACGTATCAAAGTTGACTTTGCATTGAGCCGTGAAGACGATATTTCAGTTCCTCCTGCTGAGCCCATAGATGTCCGTTATCACACCCCAGAGGAGGAGATAAGCCTTGGGCCGGCATGCTGGCTTTGGGACTACCTCAGGAGAAGTGGCCAAGCTGGGTTTTTTCTGCCATTGAGTGGAGGTGTGCATTAACTTACTTTACTCTTTAACTCCTAAGATCAAAGCAGTAACTCTCCTTACAGACTACCACAGATCTCCTTGTGAATTAGAAAAGAGAATTTGATGTTAATTAGAAGGAGAAGTTACATGTTTATCCCCTTTGAGAATTCACCCTTTATGCCCTAACATCAGGATCTATATTCTTCATACATAGAGAATTTAGTTAACAATCAAGGGCATTTTTAGTTGTTGATCATTTCCTTTATTCTTGTGACCTTAAAGTGTGATTGAACAATGGTTCTGAAAGGAGAAATGGGATGCTAGTCACTGGTTTAAATTAAATGGATATTTCATGTAGGATCAGTCACATGTTACACCAAAATTTAATACTGTGCCGAAAATCTTTAATTTAATTACCTGAAAAAGTAAATGCAATTCTCATCAGCTATTAAACAATTATTCCATGAGCGCGCATTAGATATGAGATGATAGGTAGCCAACGAGTTACGTAGTGCCGAGTTGGCTATAATCATCTCATATCCAACAATCGCAAGTGAAATAATTGTTTTATTAAAAATGTTTAATTAATTTATTAAATTTTATGAAAGTTGTAACTCCCTTTTGATTTTAAGCTGACATGTATGCTAGCCATATTTGTAGATTATGGTATATTGGCTGATATACCATAATGGCTAAGCCATTAAAAAGCCTTGAATTGCATTATTAACTGATCTAGTTTTTAATAATATTACTTAGATAACCTCCCAAACTTGTACAGGTTTTCATCTACGACTTGGTTAATAGCGCAGTGCAGTTTTAGTGATCTGTATTAAAAGAGAAAAAAGGGCGTGGGAGAGCTGCAAGGGCTATTCTTCTGCTTCAAGTTATTGTAGATGGCACCTTTACATTTTGTGACTTTTTGTGAACTTTAGTAATACTTACATATCTATTTGAATGAATAAATGTTTAGGTTAAATTCATGGTTTTCTTCTCAAATTAACTGTAGGCATTGACAGTTCATCGACAGCCTGCATTGTAAGCTCCATGTGTCACCAGGTGTGTCAAGCAGTCAAAAATGGAGATCAACAAGTGTTGGAAGATGCTCGTAGGATTGTCAATGACAAGTGAGTTATGACCTCAGACTTGTGCAGTTTAGTTATTCAGTTAAGATCTAGTGATTTGTGTAGATCTAATCAGTATAGTCAGTTTGTGTTTTCAAGCACAAGACTCAGTGCAGCAAATATTGGGTCGGCATATTGGATGGTTGGAAGATTTGGGACAAGTGACAATATTCGGTTGGCATATTGGATGGTTGGATGATTTGGGACAAGTGACAATATTTGGTCAGCATATTGGATAGTTGGAAGATTTGGGACAAGTGACAATATTCGGTTGGCATATTGGATGGTTGGACGATTTGGGACAAGTGACAATATTTGGTCAGCATATTGGATGGTTGGAAGATTTGGGACAATTGACAAAGGGGGGGATTTTCAAAGGCGGGGAGGGGGGGGAGGGGTTTCTCCCTTTCCCCTCACTTCATCTCTCATCTTCTATCCATCAAATGTGGTGACCAAATATTGGCCACACCGAGTCTCGTTGGAACACAAACTACTGCTTACAAGCAGGCTAGCTGTCTTCATTTATTACCGTTTTATCTAGCCCTTGCTAAACCCTTGATTCAGTGGTTTGTTAGGTGTGTGAAAAAACAAAAAATGTTATTGTTTGTCAAGTTTCCCTGGCAGCTGTCTGCCGGGATGTTGCCCAGCACGCTCCCCTTGTAGAGGGGGCGGGGGACAATGCTTGAAATCTATTCACTCATCAGTCTATCCTCCATCTGTATGTCTATGTAGCAAGCTTAATTTTGGATTTATCAACTGAGTTGAGATAGTAAATTAGTCACCGTAAAGAGATTCAAAGCTGACACTTCGAGCATCTGACGAAGGGCTAACGTTCGAAACGTCAGTATTGAAACTCCTTACTGTGGCCAGTTTACTTCATCAAGTAAGGTGATCAAACCAAAATTACCTTGTTACTCTTACCAATGCCATAKC